GAGATCCTTGATGCGGGGAGGGGACCCTCCGTGCCAGGGCCCCGTGGCGCCCACTTGGGAAGACCTCTAGGAGGGCTCGTTGGCCACGCGCTGCAGCCGCGGCTCCTGGCTGGCCGCGGGGGCCGGGGAGTGCCCGAGGTGGCTCGGAGGCGCGCTGCCAAGCAGCTGCTGCCCCCGCCCCGCAGCACCCCAGTCCGCCCCTGCGCCTGTCGCCTGGGGGCGCCTGGCACGTGGCAGCTCCGCGAGGTAGGTCCTTCGTTCCTCCCATTTCACAGAGAAGAAAACTGCATCCAGGATGGCGCTGCCGGGCTGTCTAAAGTCACTCCGCTGGTTCCGGCCGAGCTCCGACTTCCAGAGTGAGGCGCATGACCCCTGCATACCAGGCCTCCCCGGGTCCCAGGCTTGAGGGCCTGTCGGTCGCCACCCCCTTGGAAAGGCCAGGAGAGGAGCCTGTGCTGGTCGTGAGCCTCCACCTGTGCCCTTGACTGCAACACCCTAGGTTAGGACCCCGCCCACAGTTTTTGGGTACGGGTGGGCTTCTCCCCCTCCTTTAACTTCTGAGGTTCCCTCTTGGATTCAGGCACTGCTGTCCCCTTCCAACCCCATCTCCCTGCCCGTGAGGGTGGGATGTAGGGGTCCAGACCCAGGGTAAAGAACCCTACGTTGTGGAGGTTGCAGTAAAGAATTGAGTGGGCCACTGAGTCTGGGAAGCTGGTGGAGGAGTGGGTGAGGAGTGGAATACAGAGCTGAGCAGATCCGGGAGGGAATGGTGGGTGTAGTGTCCTGGGCTCGGGCTTTGTCAGGTGGGCAACATGCAGCTCCCGTTACCAAGGTTATCACTCTTTACCCGGCCCCTTTCCTTCTCCTTGGGTGTGGGAATTCCCGTGTCTGTTTTAGGGAAGGGGACACCGAGAGGTAGGGTACAGGTGGTGCTGGGGCTGACTCAGCGGGTGTGGTGTGGTGTGGTGTGGTGTGGTGGGCATGGGAGTGGGTCTGACCAATCCTGCTTTCTCACCTATGCCCACAGTGCCCCCCACCACCCCAGCTCAATCATGGCGAAGCTGGAGACACTGCCTGTGCGAGCTGACTCAGGGCGGGATCCCCTCCTGGCCTTTGCCCCACGACCCTCTGAGCTCGGACCCCCAGATCCTCGTCTGGCCATGGGCAGCGTGGGCAGTGGAGTTGCCCATGCCCAGGAGTTCGCCATGAAGAGCGTGGGCACCCGCACAGGGGGTGGGGGCAGCCAGGGCCCTCGAACTGGTGGCAGTGGGGCGAGCAGGGAGAGGCCAGGCCGCTACCCATCTGAGGACAAGGCTCTCGCCAACTCCCTCTACCTCAACGGTGAGCTGCGGGGCAGTGACCACACGGATGTCTGTGGCAATGTGGTGGGCGGCAGTGGTGGCAGCAGCAGTAGCGGCGGCAGTGACAAGGCCCCACCACAGTATCGTGAGCCCAGCCACCCACCTAAGCTCCTGGCCACCTCTGGCAAGCTAGACCAGGTCAGTCCCCGGGGCCTTTTTCTGGGGATGGGAGGTAGCTCAGTGGAAGGTGAAGTGGACTTTCTTAGAATTTGGGTTGTGGTAGATGCCAGGATGGAGACTGGACTTGAAGGGTGGGCCTTGGGGGCCAAATCCAGCTGGTGGGTACAGGATAAAGACTTGGCTTGGGTGGGCCATAAGGTAGACACCAGCCCTGAGCGACTCCTGGGATGGAGATCAACGAGGGTGGGAAGTGGGGAAGTCTTGTCCAAAGGGAAGAGGCTGGGGTCAAGGCTAAGGCCCCATCCTGATGTCCACTCTCCTCTGCTTCTACGCAGTGCTCAGAGCCGCTAGTTCGGCCTTCAGCCTTCAAGCCTGTTGTACCCAAGAACTTCCACTCCATGCAGAACTTGTGTCCTCCACAGACCAGCGGGACCCCTGAGGGACGACAGGGCCCTGGGGGCCTCAAGGGTGGACTGGACAAGTCTCGGACCATGACCCCAGCGGGTGGGGGTGGGGGCAGCCTCTCAGACTCAGGCCGGATGCCTGTTCTCGTACTAGTACTGAGTTGTTTAGAGTACACTGGTTTTGTAGTATAACTTAAAATCTGGTATTGTTATTCCTCCAACTTCGTTTTTCTTTCTCAAGATTGCTGCAGCTACTCAGGGTCTTTTTTTATTCCAGATGAATTTTTGGAGAGATTGTTATAGGTCTTTGAAGTATGCCTTTGGTATTTTATTAGGAATTTCATTGAATATATACATTGCTTTGGGTAGTATGGACATTTTAATGATGTTGATTCTACCAATCCATGAACATGGTATATTTTTCCATTTGTTTATATCTTCCTCTATCTCTTAATTCACCGTCCTGTATTTTTCTGAGTACAGGTCCTTTACCCACTTGGATAAATTTATTCCTGGGTATCCTAATTTTTTTTGTTGCAATGGTAAATGGGATTGTTTTTTTGTTTTTTGGGGTTTTTTTTTTTTAGTTTCTCTTTCTTTGAGTTCATTATTGGTGTATAAAAAAGC